TGTCTTGGGCCCTCTCTTCTCTAACTATACTCTCACCCAATGACCTCAGCTCCCATCATCCAATCACCTTCATACAGCAGACTATTCCGGGCTATAGATCCATCCCTAATCTCTGCCCTGAGCTGTCGCAAATCACCAAATGCCTTTTAGACATCTCAAACTCAACATGTTCTAAACACAACTCATCATTCACCCAATCCCTTTCACCTTCCCAAGCCACTTCAGTCATCTGAGTTTGCATCCTCAGTCTTATTTTCAACCCTTCACTTACCTCATATATCTAGCCCACTGCTTAATCTTGTTTCTCCCTTTCCAGCTATCCTATGTTCCCTTCTCTCCATTCATACGACGACCACCTAATTCAGGTTCTCATCACCTGGCCTACAGTTAGATCTGTGTGAACAATGAATTACCCTAAACACACTATTTGATGTTATAATTATGCAAAATATGTTGAATGGTTCCAGCCCAGTGAAAACATACAATATGAATTCAAATTATTTGCACCAATCTGGTAACTAGTTGACTCAAGTCTCTCAACCCCGTGCCAGTTCTTTTCCTAAAGTGTTCCTCTAATCATGCCAATCTGCAGTGGCTCTCTATTACCTCCAGGACCAAAGACAAAATTCTGTTTGGCATACTCCCCTTCCTCATCTGCCTCTCGGCTCCCTTCAAGTCAGTCTAGACTCCACCTTTGGCAAGAGGCCTTTCCCAGTTCTCCTTCCATGCCTTGTCCCAGAAGATCAGCTTCCACCCACCTAACTTGCCCCTAACTAGTTATGGTTCATATTTATTTCTAGAAACCCTTGAGGTTGGGATCCTTGGCTTTTCTGCATCTCCCCAGTGCTGGTGCCTGGCAGCCAAGAAGCACTTAGTGCTTTTCTACTGCCGGAGGGTAACTTGCCCCCTTCTCACAGACCTTGTGCCAAAATCAGGATCCATTCCAGCGCAATGGTCTTTCCACTCTAATACACCATGCTATCTTCTCAGTAAAGGCTTTACAATTCCAACTGAAGATGACCACAGCTAGTTAGCTTGAGAAATTATCTTTGGTTTTTTTCCCAGTAACAGTAAATATCCCATGATTGCTCACCCCCACTCCCATGATAATAGCAATCATTCTTTCCCCTCAGAGATACAGATTAATTCAACAACAACTTAAGAGAATATAAAAATAATTATAAGTGTTTCCATAGTAAAATTTTAAAAGCTGCTTTACAAAAACAAAGTTTTTAATACATTATGCATCATAAATTCAATATTCAAAACAAAAAGGCCAAATTCTTGGCCCTCTCCAAAACTTTCCAACATTCCAAGGCTGTGTGTATACAGGTGTACAAACACTGATGAAGCAGGCAAAGTAGAGGAATGAAGGGTAAAAAGGAGATGGAGGGCAGGCTCAGGCTCTGTGACTCTTGCTCAGAACTGCTGTGGTCTGAGTAAAATACACAATTGCACCAGGCCACACTATTTAAGAATTTACATAGGCAACAAGATGGACAGAAAAAAAATAAGGCATATTCCTTGGGGTGTCTGGTCAACTGAAAACACTGCAAGTCACTCTCTGGAATCTTTTTCTGTATGTGTTGTACTAATCTAATGCAAGTGGAAAAGCGTGGACACCAAGCAGCTCATTTCAGCCAACAGCTACCAAGTTTCCTGATCACGGCTCTGCATAATCACTTCCATGAGAAGGCATCATCACTTCTGCTGATCTTTAAAACTTTCTGAAGAGGCCAGGAAAATGGATTTGTGAATGAAACTCTCTCAGCAGTTAGTGCTAAATAGGATGACTGCTTGAGAATAGCACAGATATAGCACCAGAAAATCCTGACGGGGTTTCTAGAGATGAATTACTGTGCTCAATTCAGGGGAAAAGGGAATGGGCTATTTCAGCACACTGTTAAGGAAGCTCATACTCAACTAGTGGTAGGAATCAAACTGATCAATAGCATTATACATTCTCTCTCTCTCTCTCTCTCTCTCTCCAGTATTCCAGAACAGTACTTGGTAACAAAATAGTGACCATGCTTTTTGGTGAGACTCAGATTAAAAACTAATCACAAGAGACTGAAAGATTGTTACCCATTCAAATACAAGCAGAAAGCAGATCTTTGTTCCTTTATAACCCAAAAAATAAAATTAATAACAAAGCTTGGGAAGTCCTGTAGGGGGCAGGGAAAGGAAGGAACAGTGAATGACTTGTTTAAGAAAAGTTTTACTCAAACAATTAATAATTAATAATTGTTTTTTAGAACAAAAGTTCCTAGTCAGGAATATTTGCTTAGACAAAGTCCTCTGGTACCTAAATTGAGTGCCAGAACTTCATCAGCCTGGGCCCTCTTTTGCAACTGATGCATAATTACAGCATCAGCACCAACAAACTAATGCCAAGGTCCCACTCACATGTCAATTCTAGGAAGATCAGTCTTGGACTCAAGTCTTATAGGGCACTGATATGGGAAGTTTCCCTTGATACATATAAAAGAACTTTCCCAATCTCTTCAAAATTCCACCAATCAGCTCTTTTCGACCCCCAACGTGATTTACCTGACTTCCTATTAAGTGCCCAAATGCCTTCCTTTAGAAAGCTTTTCCTCAAGGAGGGGGAGGGAGAAAATGCCACGCACAGAGTCTGAGAAGACAAGATGGAGGAACACAAATCCAAGCAGGACAGCACTTTGTGCTTAGAAGGAACCCATCAATGCCCTACCGGTTCCAGGCTAATAAATGGCAGTAGTGGTCACTGTCAAACAACTCTTATGCAGAGTTGTTAAGTTTTGGGGGCGGAAATTATTGTGATCCTGGAATTTCAGAAAATCCAGTGTTTGAGCTAATTAGCTTGTTTGGTTAGACCCACCAAACCTCCATATAAAGTTGCAAATTCAAATAAGATTTAATATTTTTTCCTCGGCCAGACTCTAAAATAATTTTTCTTCTGATTACTTCTCATTATTCTCCAAAGAACAGCAAAGTATATTTTCCATAGCTTACAAAAAATATTTCTCTGAGGTTAGATTTGCTTTTAGTGAATTTCAAATAAAGCCTCCAATTAATTTTCTACTGAATCTGAAGTAGTCGCCAAGTTCCCACCTCTTGACCACTTGTCAATTTTATTAGTTGTTTGCCTTTTTGGATAACCTAAATAAAGCCTACATCAGACTTTGCTTTAACCATTAGTTCATTCACATATAAACTATACAAACTACATACACGTACACAAACACTGCCACTCTTAAGAAGAAATGCTTTCAAAAAATACTTTAGCGCAAGATTAAGAAACTGTAATGTAATCTGACAAATTGTCTTTGTAAAACATACTAGTTTTTAAAGTTGAGTAAAACGACACACAAACCATTAAACCCCTAGGACTGAGTTACACAGAACCTTTCAGAATAAAACACTTTTTAAAAAGGATACATGTACACACATCATAGTTCTGCCTTGACATTCTCTTCAATACAAAAGCCTAAAACCAACACTTCAGTAATAACATGGATAGAAAAGACTCCCAAGAGCATCTATACAAAAGATGTGATTAAATTAGAATACAGACAAGGTGACTGACGTTTAACATGCTGGATGAGACAACGAATGGCTGCCTGCTTGAAGACAGACCAGCTTTCCAGAAGAGGCTTCGAGTGACACTATTTCCCACATAGCAAGTTTAACGTGACTTTACTGAATTAATTTAAATGGGATACTCAATGAATGGGCAGAGTCTACCCCTCTATATTCATTTCTTTTAGAGATTTCTCTTGGCATAACTCAAGATTTCTCTTCACAACTTAAAAAATACTTCTGTCCTTTCTCACACTCTGATTCAGGTCATAGTCTATTATAAAAGCCACTGGAATACATCTTTTTCTTTTTTTAAGGGAAAAAAAGTCTGCATATTCCATTGTGGTTGTGAAGGGCTCTGGTAGTAACTTCAGACAACAGATCAGGGTAATTTCAACAGCTCCAGGAGAGCGCCCACTGCTCCAAAATAACCCTAGAAAGGCAAAAAAGCCAAGATATTTATTAATAAGGTACACCAAGACTTAAACGCATGTTCCTATAATTACTAAACTGAAAGCATAACTGGAAGAAAGTGAGGGTAGTGGGAATGAGACTATCAAATCTACTTTCAAGAGTAGTATCATGTAGAAAAAACAATGAAACCTTATTTCATATGAAGATTATTTCCAGTTGTTCAGCATGGATTAAGATTTCTTATATCAAAGAATATCCTGCTTTAGACATATAACTTCACGAATGGCAAGGTAACCAAACAGAAAAGAAGAAACCACCATAATGACTGTTTTATTTTAGTGTGGCAAAGCAGGATATTTCCTACATAATTTCTCTATTTCAGCCAAAAATCGGGGATTTTATTTTTCCATGCAGCAAAACAAAAAACTACCATGTTCAGTTTTATAGCTGCATACTTTAGACTATCCATTGTCCCCATGTTGGGGCCCTTCTCTGAAAGAAAAACATTAACGCTCATTATTTTACTTCTACTTTAAACCAATGAAAAACTCAAAAATTAATTTGTGCCTCAAAACATTAACAGAAAAATTTAGGTTATCCTCATCCAGAGAAAGAACTCAGGACTCTGAAAGCAGGTGAAAGCATACTATTTGCTCTCCTTTTCTTTTGTTGTTTTGTTTTGTTTCTTCTTTCTTATGGTTTCTCCCATTAGCTCTAATTCTTCTTTACATTATGACTAATGTGAAAATATGTTTAATATGAATGTATAAGTAGAGCCTACACAAGACTGCACACCATGGGGGGGCACAGAGGGAGGGGGAGAAAATTTAAAACTCAAAATCTTATGAAAGTGAATGTTGAAAACTAAATATAAATAAATTATAAATTAAAAATAAAATATATTATTCCCATATTTAAAAAAAAAGAAAAATATTAGGCATGCACTTTAGTTTATATATTAATGCTTTTTTAAATGGGCTTACCTCATGCTCTGAAAAAAGTGCTTTCAACTGCCCCTTGGACCAATAATCCAAAGCATACGCAAGAAGTCTCATGGAAATGGTATTAACTCGCAAAAAATTTCCAACAAATACCACCTGGTTAATGTTCTGAGCACATTAAAAAAAGGCAGTTAGATTTCAACATGGTTTCCATACCATTTTAAAAACCACACCCAAATGGCATATTTTATTTTTGGTCATCTTTAAGACTATTTAATCAGGTAAACATATTTTTGGGGGGGGAGGTGGGAGGGGAATTTAAAAGAATTTGAAAGAGCCAGGCTGATATTACTGTTCATGAGCTTCTATACTATTTTATGAGGCTTTCCCAGTTCTAAGCCCACACTTCACAGCATGCCAGAAATGAGGAAAGATATCTCTGCATAATGTAGCCTTGTCTAATATATATATCATATACTCAAATTTCCAGGTAGGTATCTCCATCTCCTTTCCCTTATGTATAAAAACAAAGGGTGTCAGACTAAATTATTTTAGATACCTCTCTCAGCTCTTATACTACTTTAAAAACAATAAAAAATTAAAATGAGCAAATTTCAATTTATGGTAGAAGGAAAGAAGAAACACACTGATATACAACGGGTTTGTTTGTTGTTGTTGTTATTGGTATTTTTCTTTTGTTTTGGTGGAGACAATCAGAGTTAAGTGACTTGCCCAGGGTCAACACAGCCACTAAGTGTCTGAGGACCTGATTTCAACTCAGGTCCTCTTGACTCCAGGGCCAGTGCTCTATCCACTTCACCACCTAGGTAACCCCCTAAAATGGAATTCAAAGCTCACATCTTCCTTTAATAAATATTTTGATAAAGCGAGAAAGTCTCATAAAGGCACATCAGGGACATTCTCAAATACAGGGTCCTCATCCTTTTAAAAAATGTCTACTCCTCACTTTCTAAAGTGAAAAGATGCTTGGAGGGGGTGGGCTTCCTATTTCACAGACATAGCCACACACTCCCGAAACTAAACACTGCTAGGTTAGCAGCCACTAAAACTGAAAAGCAATTTGTCCAAAAACACACTGCAACAAAAGTAAAACAGCAGAACTGACTCCCCAATTCACTTTATCTAATAGTTTCTATCCATCATCAGGAAGGACTGATTCTTCCAGTGAAAAAGGGTCTTGGCTTATTAGGATCACAGCATTCGAAGCCAAGAGATCCTTATATGTCAAGTCCTTGCTTTGTAGAGAGAACATTTGCAGAGTGGCTGGAATCAGCACTTCCCATCAATGATTTTACAATTTAAAAGATTTTATACAAATAAAGAAATTTTCATAAACCCTAACCTTTATCTGGTTACAAATTCTTTCTTATCCACAGCTGTCAAAGTTATAGTCTCCCATTCTCTTCTAATTTTATTTTGGTATGACTTGTAATATTTAGGGTATTATCTATTTGGAATTTGTTACAACATATGGTAAAAGATACTGGTCCAAGCCTATTTGCTCTCTCCCAGTTTTAACCAAATAGATTCCCTTGCCTAGTGGACAGAGTTCTTGGGGTTATCAAACACTTGACTGCTATGCTGGTTTGCTTATCTAATTCATTCCACTAATCTACTTTTCTACTCTTAATGAACGTAAAAAATAAGTTTCATGTAGAGGGCAATAGAGAGGTACACTCAATTAAAGATGAAGCCCATTAGAATAGGAAATGTGTCATTCATTGGATTTATACTCCCAGAACCCAGCACAGTACTGAGTACGCACTTAGCAAATGCTTGCTGATTTATGGTAGGCTGCAATGTGTAGCCAGTGAGAAACACCAAACATGTTCCTTGCCTGGAGCACCCCAAGCAAAATTCACACGGCAAGATCAGGAAAGACAGGTAAACTGGCAGAGGGCTCTTACTGGAACAGGAAAGGAAGGCCTTCAGTCCACTAAGTTGATACCCTGTATGCAGTGAAGTTATGGGAGGACATGCCCAGGATGGGCAAGCATGAATTAGACTGTGATCTGCATAGTTAGAGAGAATATAGAAATATCTTCCCCCATTAGAATATAAGCTCCTTGAGGGGAGGGACTGCCTTGCTTTTTCACTTTAGGCGGCACAGTAGATAAAGTTTTGGACCTGGAATCAGGAAAATCTGAGTTCGAATCCAACCTCAGACACTTACTGGGCAAGTCATTTAACCTCATTCATAAAATGTAGATAACAGTAACACCTAACTCCCAAGGTTGTTGTGAAGATCAAATGAAATAATAATTGTAAAGTGCTTAGCACATGGCAAAGCTATATATGAATGTTACTATTATTACAACATAGTAAACACTTAATAAATGCTTGTGGACTTAACTCCCAAATTGACGAGATCATGGATCCATTTTAATATATGTATATGACATTAGTCTCTCAAAGCTTATGTAAGGAAACAGACAACAGTTGAATATTAGCCATGAGGAACACATACAGCATGTAAGCTAGCCCTTTACAAGGGTTTTCCATCACATGTGCAATGGACTCAATAATTTCAAGAAGGCAAAGATTTTCTACACACAACAAGCGACACTGCTTAGAGTTCAACAGCATAATGAAAAGCCAATGGGAAGACAACAAGGACTCTAAGCCTAACCTGATGCTGACCAAGTACGACAGCTGCTTCTGAAGTGAACAAGTAAACTAACAGACACTCTGTCCAAGGCTCACCTAATTTTTCATATAAACATATACTCTTGGGGCAAGACACAACCTCTCCTCACTTTCTTCACCTGGGGTGGGGGAAGGGGAAAGGGAATTTAAGGTGAATGTGAAAATCTCCTTTAAGGTGTCTTCCAATTGTAAAAGTCCATGATGTCAGTAAAAACCTGGGTCCAAACTTCCTTTTTTTCAATTCTAATTTTAACTTTAATTTTAAAGTTGTAAGCAAGAAAGATTATATCATATGAGCAAACTAAAAAGCCAGAGTATACCAAAACAGTCAAATTACTGAAATAAAATTGACATAGTTCATCTGCTACATCTTAACGGGATACGAACTGTCACTTTGCAGCATGTCAAATTGTTTACAAAAATGAAGTTAATACACTGTCAAAGCAAGGATTTCCAAAATTGGCTAGAAGGGGAAGGAAGGGAGAGAAAGTAGAATAGAAAAGGCAGAGAATAGAGATAGCGATTGTTCCGTTCCCCCTTCCCCAAGTTTAAGTTTGGGGTTAAAAGACTGAGCCGCAGTCTACTCTGGTCTTAAACCAATCCAATTTCAGGAGCTGTGTGCCAAACATCTTAGTTCCCAATATTAGGAAGTGGGCATCCCTGTTAACCAGGAACTCTCAAGAACAATGGGGTTTCAGGTACCCTCTTTTCAGTCCTTGATGACAAGAAAATGGATCACTCAACCTGTCCCCAAAGGAGACATTAGGACATCTAGGGCTCATTAAGAAAATAAGGTGACAAATAATATCTCCCTCTAAGATAAGCAGCAAAACGAAAATTTGCATGTAGGGCTATTTTGTTTTGGGGGGGGGGGGGATGCGCAGCACTAGGTAATGGGGTTAAGCAACTTGCCCAGGGTCACATAGCTAGTAAGTATTAAGTGTCTGAGGCCGAATTTGAACTCAGGTCCTCCTGACTCCAGCACCCAGTGCTCTCTCCACTGTGCCACCCAGCTGCCCCACATGGGACTTTTAATTAAAGCCTACAGCTACTTAAAACTATCAACTGGAAGAGAAAGGGAGAATAGGGGTTAGCAAGCCAAAGAGCAGGATACTAAAACAGCAGCACTGTCAGTCCCATGCAATAATGCAATTACATCATCAGACTGCTTTCCTCACATCAAGCACTAAAGGAATAGAAACTCTCCAGGCCTAGGAGAGTGGACAGCACAACACAAGGTCAACTCTGAAACACACAGCACTATGAAGACAGGAAAAACGCCTGAGTGAGGCTATGTAACAGGGATTCTTGGATAGCCAGAAGGGCCTAGACAGAAGAAGTATTAAAATATGGGAAAGAAGTAGAGAAAGTCAAGGTGCCAACAAGAAAAACTTTCCCTGCTTTGACTCAAGCTGGTCATTACTTCTCTACTTTCCACCCTCCTACCCCTGTAGGGCAGTAATCATTTGCCTTTTTAAAGTACAGCTCTCACCTGATCTTACTAATATCATTATCCCCCAAATCTCTTCTCATCTACCCAGATATGTTCTGCTGTAGCACAATCTAGAAGGAACAGGTATGGCTGGTAAGATGAGACCTGTCTGTGAGTGACAGATTCATTATCAATAAGCTGTCAGAGCACTGGTCTCTCCTCTACCCTCTCACAACTTGTCCCGTTGGGAAAAATAAGCTAATGTATGAGAAGAAAATAACTGACATTTATGGAGCACTTTAAGGTTTTTTGATCCTTACAACAGCCCTGTGAGGTGGATACTACAGGTATCACCCCCATTTTACTGATGATAAACTGATGGCTTAAGTGACTCACCCATGGTCACACAGTTAGTATGTCCTGGAATTCAAACCCAGGTCTTCCTGATTCCAAACCCACCCATGATCAGATTACTAAATGCTGACTTCAAACAGAATTCTCAAATGTAGGAGGCACACCCTAAAAGACTAACTCCTTCTTTAACGTTAAGCTACAGAGAACTACTATTGCCCAAATGAAGTGAAGATCCGTCTTGGTTCTTTCATAGCCCTGTACAATGCTGCTTGACATCAATGCAACAAGGCAGCACTGTAAAGAAGCTGAAAGCACCAAGAGAGAGAGGCCATCCAGAGTCTCCCAGGGGTGATTGACCCCGTTTCCATGCTCCCCTTCTTCCTCCACCTCATGACAGCTTCTTACCTTCCCACTTCACTGTCACTCCCCCACTGCCAGCCCGCCCCCAACACCCAGAGCACCTGCTGACTTCTTCCTTCTCCCTCCCCCTTCTCCTAAATGTCACTTTCATCCTCATTAATGCCAGAATCTGAAAAATGCCCCACGGCATGTGGGAAGTCTTCTTTCTTTCCCAAAGTATAATAAAGAGATTAGTTTCTTTTATTACCTCATTGAGAGCACACATTCGTGCTATTGAGCCAATGTTGTTGGTGATGGTGATTAAGGTGGCTCTGGCCAGGTCCTCTTTAGTGACGGCCTCTCTTTTCTCCTTGCTCACCATGTTTCCAAAACTATAATGAGAATATTGAAAACCCAGCACTATATGAGGGGAAAAACAAGGCAGTGCAAAAGGTATTTGAAACTTAGTACAATCAAACTCAATTTTGAAAGAAATAAAATTTTTATTTTAAAACTGCAGGACAAACAGCCAAAGAAAAAAATTTCTGTTAACTAGAACACGAAGGTATTCTAAACAAATAGGCAGCTATATAACACGGTTGCACTGGAATTTTATGATTAGCAGTAGAAAATCAAGATAATTCAACTGGGCCTTTTCTTTGCTTATCAACTCAGTCCACTGAAGTTCATTAGGCCTCCTTAGGCAAGGTCAGAGAAAAAGATTCATTGCCCTGAACCACTTGGGTTCAATTCCCTTTCTTGTTCCTTTACCGTCCCCAATCCCAAAACAGCATATTTCTTGACCAACTCAACTACACAGTTTTTCCATTTGGATCGTTACAGCAAGATGTGTAACACGAATCTGCTGGCCAGAAAGAAGCAAAAATGTCTATTCCCTCATTTCCATAAAGAGGGTTTAATGAATGCAGGAGAATCACAGTTTCTAGTCAATACTTCTGGAATTCCTTGAAGTCAAGGTATTTAAACAAACAATCAGTTTTCTCTGAAAACCTTAAGAGGAATTACGGCTAGTATTATATCTACAACTCTTTTTCCTTTATTATATATATTTTTAAAATGAATTTTTATTGATATATTTTCACATCATCTAAATTTCCTCCTAGTATTCTTCCCTTCTCCGAGATCTAGCCAATAACAAAAAACGTTTTATTCAAGAGAAAAAGACAAGAAAAAAGGAGAAGAAACCAATTAATATACTGAAAATCTGAAAACATACACAATGTTATGTGAACCTCCCACCTCTACAAAGGAATAAGGAGGACATACCTACAATTATCATGGTACTAGAAAAGGTAACGTGGACAACTATGACTAGAGTAATACAAATTCAACACTGCCAAGACAATGAAACCATAATCTATGACGTAATCACATACCAGAAAAATTATCCAAAATTTGTATTTAAAGAAAAGTTACATGGTCACATTTTCAAGTACTTAAGACTAGTCACAAAGTTGACATAAAAAATATTTTATTCCCAAATATTTTGGGGTCCCCATCTCCCCCACACCCAATCTTACCTAGAGGCTACAGCCCAGCCTGGCAATGAAAATCTCTCGTAGTCCCCTCCGTAGATGTCTCGTACTAGTTTATCCACCTTGGTACTATCTCCACGAGACGCCATTTCAAGAGCCTCTTCAAAAGTGGTGCAGCCAGTCAGAAGACAGCAAAGACCAAAAAAGGTTCCTCCCCCAAGACTTTGATTAAAAAACAAAACAAAACAAAAGAATTTCACACGTTGCATCATTCTCTCTATACTTCAAACTGAAATACAGACTGAAGGCTGAAGTAGAATAAGAACTTCTTTATATAACTAAAAACACCTCCCCCCCAGATAGATACCATGAACCCCCACACCTCCGTTTATCCAAAGAATTCAGAAACAGAGATGCCAGTCACATCTAAGAGCAAACCACACAAAAATGTTCATGTTTAAGACAATTCATCTCCATGCTCACCATTTATTCATCCATGCCAACAAGGAAAGGAAGGAGCAAGTGTCCTAGCTGGCGCATCACCTACTACACATTTTGCAACTGAACAATCTTACAACATGCATATCATCTCAGACTCAGACAAAAGAGTGTCAAGAGAATGGGAACTCTGAACTTTTAAGAAAGTTAAAGGAAAAAGTTTGGGTATCAACAAAGAAAAATCTATTAGATGATAAAAACAATTTAAAATGTTCTCGAAAGCATACTTTTCAGTACCTTAAAAAGTGAGCTAACATTATGTTGATGACTGTCTTTATTAACGGACCTTACCTGGTACCAGTAACACGTTTATAATTATCTTTGGAATATACTGCCAAGATGCTAACCCCAGAGCCGATGTTCACCAGCAGAAGAGGATATGGATTTTTCAGATTGAAGGGTAACTTCTGACATTTTTCAGAATCAGCTGGGTTTTCAAAGTAATAGCACTGTGACCGTCCATTGAATCCAACAGAATCAATGTATAAAATTCCTTTAATTAAGCAGTCTAGTTCATCAAGTTTGCAAAGCTGAAGATCACCTATCTGTAACAAAATAAAAAAATTAGCTAGATTTTTTTAAATGCTAAAGGTAAAGTCAAACTCTTTCAACAAGAGTTCCTCCCCTGCCCCCACACTGAAACCAAGACTAGTCATGAAAGTCTATTACTTATGGATATTTTATAGAAGAGAAAGGGCAATCTGTTTGGGGAAGGGAACAGACTAGGCAGTATGATGAAATCTAAACATTCTGCACACCTAAATATATTCTGCAAAATATATTTTTTGCTCAAACAGGTCTGTTAAGCTGTTTTTCTTCAGTCAAAAACAAATGTGTCTTTATCAAGTGGCCAAGTAGAAAACAAGTCATTCCCTCATATGAAAAATAAATTTTAAAAATTACTAAAGCAACATGTCTACTAAAGAATACCCACAAATAATTACACTTATAACAGAATAACTAAATTCCACTATTCAGGTTAGTATATTTTCACTGAAAAGGGCATCGAGAAGCAGAAACCAATGGACAGTTAAAGTACAGTTAAGTTTAATACTGTGAAATCATCCTCAAAGGTCAGGAATGTAGCCTGATGATACTTAGTTTATTTCCAATAATCTAAACAAAATGTTTCCAAGTTTAAAAAACATATACCAAAAGCATCTTCAATAGATGTGCAGAACTAACAAGTGAGAGAAAAACTGACTGAAGTTGTCCTCAGGCCTAAGTCAGATGAGAGCTGAATTAAGGAAATCAGAGGATACAATAAGACAGTTTGAGGAGATGTGAACTTGGCCTATGGACCTACTGCCTTTGAGTAAGCTGGCTGAGAGGACTGGTTTCCTAGTTATGAGCTAACAACTCTGCCAGGCAAGGAGAAGCATACTTAAGGCACGACACTCCTCTGGGGATGACAGACAGAAGTTGAGGTGCCTAAAAAGAGATGAAGAGCTGGAGACCAGCTAAAGCAGAGTCAATGCCTAACAGGGAATAGGGCCAGCAGAGAGCAATGCAATGACACCACCAGAATACACAGGCAGCTATTCGGGATCGGAGGCACAAACTGCCTTCCTCTCCCTCTATGACTGTTCCCTGCCTCACACATGATCCTTACACCCGTCCCCTCTTTGCAAGGAGGCTATGTCTATTTGTGGGAGTGAGCTCAAGGTGCATAAGGAAAATGTTTTGTTGTTGTCACTACTATGCTACTTCAATAAATGCCTCAAGAAAAAAACACAGATGATCTACTACATTCAGAATATCCTAAAAATAAATGAATGGTCATCTGTCCTGTCAAACTTCCTATGGTTCCTTAGTTCCTGACAACTAATTAAATACTTGAGGTTTTTTCTTATACGTGACAGAAATCCATTTTGTTGATGTCTAAACACCTTTATTACTGTTTGTGGAGATGGAAAACTTAAGCAGTGACTTTTTATATTTCTTCACATTCTTTGCTAGACCAAAACCAACTAACTATACTTCATTAGCACCTATAGAGTCATTGTTTTTTGACCCCTCAATAATACCGCAAACTTTTTTTTCTTTAGCTTAATTCTTAGCTACCAAAGAGCAAACATTCCACTGCTCAGAGATTACTCGACTCTCATTCTGCTTAGGGTCCATTATGACTTTTCTGCCATGTTGTGTCTCCCCAGTCTCTCCCTACTTTTTACCTTTCCAGGTTGTTGGGTGTCCTGAAGTGTTCTGCCTTGTACTTATCTCTACTGAACTTGCTCCTATAGTACTATTTTGGGTCATTCTGCCGTCAGGTGAGTGACTCACACTTTGAATTCACTAATCCAAGTTACTGAGAATAATATAGGCACATCCCCCTATTGAGTAAACTCAAGATGGCATACAAACATCTCTATTTACACAAAAGGTATATGAAGATTTATTTATAGTTTCACATTTTAAAAATTTGCTATAACATTTTATTAAATATCTAACTCCCTTTCCATTAACAATTCAGAAGACCCACAACTTCATCAGTTGAGTATCACACCTCAGTAGATGGTCAAAAACTTCAGCCTTGCAGCTAACCTAATGATGAGCCTCAAGCTCCTTTACTGCATTAGACAAGGTTTCATACTCTATTATTACCTCTTGACATTTACTACTATACAGGATATGTCCCAAAAACCTTAGTGCAATTAACTGCACAAAGACTTTTGGAACACCCTACAGTTTTTGAATGACAAATCTGATTTCCCCACAATTCTTCAGGAATGCAGCTATTGTGTAAAATGAGGCATATTTGTTCCAAATAAAATCAGCCCCAGGATGAATCCCTGTGGGGCTGGCTCTATGTAGACTACCCTTTCCAGACTGAGATTTTTTGTAATTTTCCAGATGATTTAGACAGCCACATAACAAACTGTGATGAATGTTATCTTAGAAGTTTCTTGAAAGAAAAAAAGGGTTATGGCAAGCACGTGACATCTGCCCTCCTCATCATCACCTCTCAGTTTAGTAGTCCAACACTCAAGCACTAAGTATTCATGACATTATAAAACAAACAAGAAAAAAAAAAATCACTTTAGAATCATTAATGGGATTCTATCACCTGAAAGAAGGGATGGAGGACCTCTAAGGGTCACTAAATGGGGGGAAGGGGGAATTGGGAACTATGTAATTAAAAGGCAATTTAACTTAGGATTAACCCTTTTAGCTTTTAAAGAGAAAGAGAAATAATTCATTTATAAGGTTAGATGCTGGAGAGCTAAAAATCACAAATCACTTTTCACCAGTAATAGTAGAGATTAAAATGTCAAGGCAAACCATTTTCTTACCCTTAGGTGACTCAGAATGATGGTTAATTAAAAGCAGGCCCTAATAACTTTTACAAATGCCCTAAGTAATCAGACAGCCTAATCTCCCTGCAAAAGGAAAACAAAAATACTCCTCTATTTAAGACAAGTCTGGGCAGCTAGGTGGAGCAGTGGATAGAGCACCAGCCCAAGATTCAGGAGGACCTGAGTTCAAACTTGGCCTCAGACACATAACACTTACTAGCTGTGTGACCCTGGGCAAGTCACTTAACCCCACTGCCTAGCCAAAAAAAAAAAAAAAAAAAGACATGTCACCACTTGGGATGCTTCTTTGTGTCCTTATAGTAATTCAAGGCACTTTGAAACATACACTTATGCTACAGCAGGTTTTTCTTGAATGAAAAGTCTATGTTTTAGCCTTTCAGGGCACAACTACAAAAAAATGACTCTGCTTTGCTCTATTTTCACACCTATGGGCATGAATGGGCCCTTACCAGCACCTGGCCTACAGTTCAAACAGGAGACCAGTGCTGACATGCATAATGTCTGTAAGAGGAAGAAGAGGACAGGAGAAACAGAAGTGGACTCAATCAGCCAGGCCTCAGGCTCAGAGCCCAAAGTCCAAGTCCCTTCCCTTCTTGAAGTCTCTTCTCCTCACCTGTAAAATAAAGAAAATCCCCATAGTCCCCAGCCCACAGTGCTGTCAGGTTCAATGAGAAAAGGATGGAAAGAAACAAGTATTTATTAAGCCCTTGCAATGTTTCAGGTAATGTGCTAATCACTTTACAAATATCATCTCACTGGAATCTCACAAAAACCCTGGGAAGAGGGGAGATATGCTATTATTATCCCCATCTTACAGATGAGGAAACTGAGGCAGCCAGAAATAAAATGACTTGCCTAAGGCCATATGTATCTGAGGTTGGATTTGAACTCAGGTTGTCTTGACGCCAGGCCCTTGGTACATTATCCACTACAGCACAACTGCCTCCAGGTATATAAAGTGTTCGGTGAATGTCACCTATCATCATTGTAATATATTAGAAGGAAATTCAGAGATAATTATAGTCTCCATTTTAAGTCTTTATTTCTCCTCTAGAAAAGCTCAAAAGTTTTAGACCAATACACCAATTCAACCCCAAAATTTTTTGCTCTTCCGGGAGAATGTAAGAGGAAGGGAAGAAGAGGTTATCTAATCCACCTCCACAAACCATTCATCTCCTCATTGCTAACCTCCATTACATTTGTTTTCTATAGAATTAGAATACTGGGAACTTAGAAGGTCCTTAGAAACCATTCAGTCCAATCCTTTCATTTTACAGCTAAGGTGACCAAGTCTGAATAAAATCACAAAAAACCTAAAATCCAGATCTCCTGATTCTTATTCTATCTTCCAACTTTTCTTTCTTTCTCTCTCATACTTGCGCTCTCTCTCTCTCTCTCTCTCTCTCACACACACACACTCTTTACCCAGATAACAGAAAACAAAACAAAAGTAAGTCCTTACAGTCTAGAAAGACTAACATGATCAAACACATTCACTGAAGAACACTGGTCTAGCCCAGTATTTAGACGCACAGTGTTCAATGAACCAAAAAGGAAGGACATATAAATCCCTTTTTCTTTGTGTGCAGTCTATAACTTAAAGGACATTAGTTTCAAGACTTAAAAATGGAAAAGATGTTTCAAATGATAATTAAGTTTGCCACATTCTTTTTAACACCTGACTTAGGTGAGGCTGAGTAGGCTAATGTTATTAAAATACTTGTTTGTTTGAAGACACAGGCAATATTTGTCCTCTTTCAATTACTATTTGCCTGTTTTCATAAACTTTTTAAAATAATATTGAGTCATTTGGTAACAATTCTAGAAATAACCTAGGAAGCATAGATTATCGATTGAGATATATGGTCTAGCTTTAAAAACGGCTTTTCAAGTATTTCCTTCCCTGTTTAATTTTTTTATATGTCCACCATACAGAGACCTATACTTTAACGGCTCTGATTCTTGCCATCATACATGAACAGGAAGCCAAAAAGTTGCATTTATTTAACAATCCTACTTTTGCTATTGGTTTATTGCCAAATCAAATTTTAATTTGAACCTGACTTGAAAAAAAGCTAAATTTAGAAGACTAGGACTTAAACTAATTAAGCAGATGGAAATGCTTCCTCCATTACCTACAGTACTATTTTAAAATAAATTATAAAACTATAAATTGTATATAAGCTAAAAGAATGCATACTGTAAGAAAATCCTGCTCAAATTTGTATGCTCCACCTCCGGTGGCACAAAACACAGTGTGGAGACTTGAGAAGTTTTTATCTCTGCCCATTTGAATAAAAGCAGGCATGTCATGAGTAGGAAAACGTATAAAGTGCAGATTGCCTTTACGTCCACACAAGGTCAGATCCTTCAATTCAAGGTGGACATCCCGAATGCCTGTGGACCCATATGCCTCATTTGAGGTTAGGTATTTCCTAATGCTTTTAAGACTTTCCACTTCCTCTTCCTCTTCTTCAGCAGTGATATCTTTGGGTTCGAAATAAACCAGCTTGACCAGGGTTCCACCAATATCCAAGCCAAACCACGGAAAGACTAAATGGGAAATAAAAGGGAAAAAAAGAAGAAAAAATTCTTATTTTTTTCTGCAGCTGCAATAACCAACAATGATAAACTGTAATTCGTGCCTACCAGTTAAACTAAGCAATCTCTGTTCACTCCCTGCAGTTTACAAGGGGACTGTGGACTGCAAAAAATTTTAATTGCCTTATTTTCAACACAATTGTGAAGAATAATCTTATTATGCTTATTATACTCTTAGCATAGGCAATATTTGGTGAATGCACTATTGAAAAAAGGTCAAAACTTAAAACACTTCATTAAATAGAACCTCTTGACCTATATGTATTTTTACATCTAAATTGGATAGTTCCTCTCATTTTCATATTTAATTGGCAAATCAAGAAAACATCAAATTCAAAAAGTCATATTCAAATCAAACAGAATGTACTTAAAAAAGTCATCTCGAAGGCAGCTTTTCTCTAACTATTGCCTTAATTAACTTTCAACAGTCAAGAAGATATTGTGATGCTGAATAAGATGGTTAAAATTTATCCATCAGGACTGGGTCTAAAAACAACTAAACAGAAATTCACTTCAGAGTACAAGGAAAAGTTCATGGTGAAATGAGACCTCAGAATCACATATGAAAGCAAATAAAACAAGCACAAAGGTCAAATTTAGAAACTAGGGGCAGTTAGGTGGCACAGTGGACAGAGCACTGACCCTGGAGTCAAGAAGACCTGAGCTCAAATCCGGCCTCAGACACATATCACGCACTAGCTGTGTGACCCTGGGCAAGTCATTTAACCCAAATTGCTTCACCAAAAACAATTAAATAAATATAAATTTAGCAACTAAAACTAGCACTCTGTATACCTGTATAGGATGATTTAAACAATGTTATATTTCCAACAGTTTCTATTACGTATCTAAAATAATGAATCACAAATATAAACATTTGGGAAAATGGATTTAGTACAGTTAACTATTGTCCTTCTCCCTCCCTATCAGTCTAAGGGAAGATCTATATAGTTCTAGTTTAACCACAAACTAATGGGGAGTAAGGGTAATAGTAAAATTAAGTTCCAGTGCATTGAATTGTCCTCTCAGGTCACCAGAAGATATCAAAAATGCCATGGCTTAAGTTTGCAGAGTCTAAGCAAAAATTTACTAACAACAGGAACTGAGTTTTGATTGGGCAGGTTCAGTTTACCTAAAAAGAGGATTTCAAATTTGAATGCGAAGACCAGGAAAAGTAGGAGAAAGCTGCCAGCATCTACAATTCACAGGACTGAAGATTTAAAGCTGGAAGAGATCATTTTACAGATGAGGAAACTAAACCCAAAGACATTTGATGTAGTAAAGAACAGACCTGGGTTCCCAGGTCCCCTACGCCAAATCTAGCACTCTTTCTGCTACGTGCAAAGAATATACTTGGAAAAGAGTGAATACGGAAAAGAATCAGCCAAAAGTAACACACCACACACCTTCCCTGGGTCTCCTCCAAGCTTATACAACACTTTGGCCTTACCCTCATTGCTCAGATAATAAAAACAACTAACATTTATATAGCTCTTACCAAGTGTCAGGAACTGTACTAAGTGCTTTACAAATAGTTATCATTCCATCCTCCCAACAACCCTGGGAGCTATTAGTCTCATTTTACAGATGAGGAAACTGAAGCAAATAGCGGTTATGAGACTTGCCAAGGGTCACACTGATAGAGTGTCTAAGGCCAAATTCGAACTCAATTCTTCCTGACTCAAGGCCTGGCACTCTTATCCACTGTGTCACCAATCTGCCTCATTGAAGCCCCACTGATCATAGAATCAGAACAAAATTACCCACATGTGCAATGCAGCATTGCTCCAAAGGATCATGTAAACAGGGGTGATCGTAGTATTATTAAAATACAAATCAATCAATCAACAAACATTCGTTAAACACCTACTATGTGCCAGGAGAAAACAAAAGTGAAACTGTCCCTTCAATTCAAGGATCTTACACTGATATTACGTACAGAAAGGTTAACAATGAACTAAACGACATACTGTTGTTTTATTTGTCAACTTTTAAGGAATATACAAAAGTTTTGTTATTTTCTTCTCCCATCCACTAAAACTCCCTCAAAATCTAGCCAAATTCACACCACAGAACAAAATCTGATATACAACCTCTCCAAAATACTCCATTAATATGGTTCAAGAAAAAAAAAATTCCTACTTGACCTCACAATTTAATTGAGAAACTGGTAATTATTTTAGTTCCAACCCAAAAGAAAGCTGCTATACAAAATAAAATTTGTATGAAAGTATCAGGAGAACTAATAGGAAAGTTAAATCATTTCTAAATGGTAGAAAGGGTTTGGGTCCCTACTTGCATTCCTTTAGGCTTAAGATCATTTTTTATTATGAGTCATTCACCTCTAAAGTCAGTTTTCCCACCCTGGAGTAATAAAGAACATAACTAGTATGTATTTTTAAAAATGCATGTTCTGCAGTCATCACATGAACACATCTTCTGAAAGTACAGAAATATGAAATGCGGAAAGCTCTAACTAGGTTTCCCTTTCGTGACTGGATGTTTACTTTATTCATATATGTAAAATGGAAGACTAGAGATTTAGCATTACTAAGACTCACCCTTGCTAAAATTCCAGAATTTTACTCATTTGACAAGAGTGTGTCCCTACACAAATGGATCTAAAAATCTGAAAGCTATTTACAGCAAACATGTAACTTCTAAAATGTCTGTTTAATAATACAAGGTGTCCTAAAACCATTTTAAGCTTGAATAGCTTAAACTGCACTGACAATTTTGGGACCTCCCATTTTTGTTAATTACATCAATCAAACTAATTCTTCCTACCTTAAGTTTCTATGTCTGTAAACTTTAAAATACATACATTATTAGAACTTGTTAGATTTCTTTATTGTTTGAAAATGGCTACCTACATATACCTGAGAATTCAGAAATACCTGCCCCCTGGCTTTTGACAAATTAAACATCAAAATAATTTCACATGTTGAATTTCTCAGAAAAACTAAAGTAGAAATACTTCAGTATCAAAGAAAAAAGATACTGAAGGGAAGAGGGCGGATAACAGACAAGTTACTATATACGCCTCTTCGTGGTTTCTGATCTTGACAATGGGTCACGCTGTTCATCCTCACAAGAAATGACAAGGTAAAGGGTCTATTAGGAACTAAGCTTCTTGATGGTTAAAATTTATTCTTTGTAACTTATATAGTTCCATTATTTCCTAATGTTTCACCAGTCAAAGGGCTCAAGAAATATTATGACTATTGTTTGCTTTATAAAGTTAAGTCAAAACAGCATTAATGAATCTATTAGATTATTCATATCTCCAAAATCCAAGCCAAAACTGCCTAATTGTCCTTGATAAGCTGTTAGTTGCAAAACTATAAAATAAAAACAATTAGTCTTCACACTTTTATCTCCCTGAAATATTTCCTTTTAACTTATTAAGTATCATAGCTGCCCTTCCACTAATTTTTGTAGAATTTTAGTGTTTCTTCACATTAGAATTTTCCCTTTAGAACAGCTAAGCTTCTGAAATGAACTAAGGCCCTTAATATTCCAAATTGTTTCTCAATGGAAAGTATACAGTTTATCTTACTGATAGTGAGTTAATGTCCCCAGTGTTTTTTAAAAGCATATCCACCATCCTCAGGGAAAAGGTATAATCCATACACATTTCCATTAAGTTTCAATATGCAACACATAAATAATGTAATCAAATAATGAGAGATGGTTATTTCTGCTTTCACAAAAAGGGTAGTAAATCAAGAAATCAACATTTATACAACACTTCATGTGGTATAACATCAGTCTCCAAGAAAGCTTTTGTTGGGAAAGAGAAGCACAATATAACATCATTCAAAAAAACAATGCAATGAGTTTTTGAGAGTATACATCTTAACTGTTCCAATTACCAGCATAAGCACGTAAAGCAAAAAATGCTCCTTAAGACTCAAAAAGACAATTACTACGTAAGGATAAGGAGACATCAAGTTATGAATCCTGAGAGACTCTGGGTTAAAGCTTTAAACTTTAAAGCTTTAAACATCTTTACTGCTTTTTAAAGAGCCAATTTGGGAAATCCCTCCTGCCCTCCCCTTTTTTGACTGCCTGCAGTATTGAATTAGGTTTTTTTCCTCTTCTCTCTATAATTTAAGTTTAAGTAAGAAGCATCTGATAACATAATATACAGTTCTTTTTGCTTGTCCTCTCTCCAGATAAACAAGAGGGCAGAGATGCTGAAACATGGAACCATATTATTACCCAAATGCATGATTCCTATGTGCAGACCATTGAAGACCCTAAAATACAATACACTGTACCATTTTACTACTGCATAATTCACTTTCCTTTTGACTATATTTAGATACTGTCAATATTTTATATTCCTAGTTTTATTTCTGTAAGATGACAGGCCATGTATGCTTTGGGTTCGTGTACATCTAAAGATGGCAAAACACTCCACTTAAAAGAAAAAAGCCTCTTTAAATTCTCCACTCATTCTGTCACAAGTGCTGGCTAGAGTTTTCAACTAAACTGGAGCATAGCAAGAGAATGCAAAGGACCATGGCATCTCACAACACACCCATGCTTCACCATGCTCCTCTTTGCCCCAATTCAACAAATATGTTATAACTTGGTGCAATTCCTGGCTCTGTAGTAATAGCAAGATGAGAAAACAAGGGTCTACTAAGTTGGTATGTTCAAGCTTCAAATCAAATTTCTGAGGTTCATTTTCTAGAATAGAGGGTTAAAAGCCATCCCAAGAGGAGTGCAGTATTTTAAAACCATGTCATTAACTGAATTGCCATACTGCAGCAAGCTTGGCCATAGGAGCTTTAGCTCCTGGACGGCACTCCTATATCTATGCCACGTGGGCCCTCCCGCTTCCATCTTACCACTAGTCACACAGCTGCTTTCCTAGAATCAGAACTCATTAAAGGTTTGCCTCCCAGTCCTCGATTATCTAGTCTATCTAATCTTATCCCTGTACCAAGTGAGCTCACATTCTTCTCTCACTTCTTATTCACTGCAAAGACTTACACTCTCACACACTAATTTTTATCAGTGAGAAGGCATGAAAGCACCTCCTATCCCACAGGATGCTTTAACAAATTCTCAAAGAGAAGAGTGAAAAAGTTAGTCATCATCATCCCCTACCTAAACCACGCCTGTCTCCCTGCTTGTGCTCCTTCTGTCCTCCTCTCTTTGGTGTACTCTTCCTAGCTACTCTTACCCCATCAAAATACTACCCATCTTTCTGGGGGCAGCTTTGGTCCTAGCTTCTCCATGAATACTGTGCAAGACTACTTGGGTGAACACCACTCTCTCCACTCCTCGAAACTCCTACAGCATTTCTAAGTTTATATCATTCACTTAGGCACTTACCTGTTCTAATTATTTCACATGTATTAGTTTTCTCTCTCCAAATGAACTATAAACTTGCATGACAGAAACCTTATTTATTAATATTCCAAACCTGATTTATCACTCAGGTAAGGAAAGAACATTTGAAGAAATAAACAAAGGGTGGTTCCTCTCCTGAGCATGACTCACCTGATCTAGCTGGAAAGAAACCCTAGCTTGATAACTATATCCTCTGAAACTCATTCTCTAGAATACATGGAGCGTAGTAGCTGTGAGTTTACTCCCTCAATTTCACATGGGATTAGGAAGTCATGCTCATTACACAAAAGCAAATACTTCAAATATAGACAGCAGGCATTTCCTACATTAGATATGTATAAACTCACTTCCTAAAATCGCTTTTTTAAAGTCACCCCACAAATCTCCAAACATTTTAACCTGCTTATGAAAACAAATATCCACATTCTTACAGGGTTTGACCAAAGTCGAAATACCTAAGGGTCCAGTTCCACTTCAAAGCAAATGGCCACAAAACAGTGGGCCACCACACTATTTTTTAACTTAGTAAGTCCCTGAGAATTCATACCCACAAACAAACATAGAAGCCAGGCTGAGTTCAAGTCCCAACTCAGACACATACTATCTGCCCCCAGGTAAATTATTTAACCTTGTGTTCTAGGCTACACAATTTGCAAGAGTGGAGGGAATTTCCTCACTTGGGAGCTCCCCATACTAATGAAATCACAAGTCCAGACCCTATCCTTACAGTAACGATGTTTCTTCTCCATATGGATGAAGGGACTCCATAGCATTACAGAATCTTTAAGGAAATAATTTATTTTTATCACCTAATTGGGGTAAATCTAATTCTTCACTCCTAAAACACGGATGGGGAAACAACATGGCTATCTTTCAGAATCTGTATTATTAAGATAAGGAAGGAAAGACTAGCATTAAAAACATTCAACTTTACAATGCAAAATAGACCTACACTCACCAAGCCAACCTCGGAGATCAAATGAAATGTTAATGTGTTTGATAAAATTATAGCTCATGGAGACCATACAAAATGAATACCTTTAGATAAAATATTGACAACACTTTTCACTCCTCCCTCCTCATATTCTGCACCAAAAATTTGGTCATGACAAAGAATCCTGATTAAGCGACTAAAAAGTTAAGTTTTATGCACTGAAATTAATTTAAATGTGGTTAAGTTTAACTAGCCATTTTGCTATTACATATTAAGTTTCTAATTAATCATTTTAAAATAAGAAAATTTAGTGTCATGTAATGGAGATTATAGCAAAAAAAATCACATTGTGAGGCCATGTCTTTTTATTGTAAGTATAAATAACACATCTGAATTAAGAACTAGTTTCATCAAAGCAGAGACATAAACAGAATTCTCCTGGATGAAAGAATCAGGAGTCGGGGAAAGCCGTGTAACTAGATCACAAAACACTTAAGAAAGGGAAGAATAATTTGGGCTCAGGATGTAGTATTTAAGATATAGGTCTTTGTCTATTGGGAAAAAGTAAGTGAGGCTCTGATGTACAGGATCCACAAGATTAGAAGCATTTGTCAGGCTTCGAGAACACTGTAAGAAAACTCTGGGAAACATGATCCATATCTCAAAGGGGATAGCTAAGAAAGGGCAAGCACGCTAGTGAGTAAAAATGGTCTCTCCTAGTTCAGAACAAGAGCAGCTCAAGGGGCCAGTGCCACCTGGGAAGAAGTGTGTTTCTCAAGGAAAGGATTTTTAATCCCATGGAAAACAATCATCTAGGGAAACGCGTGGAAGATCTACCTTGAGGGTCAATGGACTTGGGCGGGGAAGGGAGGATTGGGGTGAAGGGCACCAAGGGCTAAGCTACCCAAGGCCCTCCCCGAAACCGAACAGCAGCTCCAGGGACCTCGAGTGCTGAGCCCCTGGAGACCCCCGGACAGCTCCCCTCCTCATAGAGAGGGTCCCCAGCCCAGTTCTCAAGTCCAGGCAGATCTTTCGTCCCAGAAAAAACTAGGTGGAGAGGTTGCACAAGCGACTCAAGGCTGGGACTGAATTAAAGACTCCTAAGTCCCTTCCAACTCGGCCAAGGCACTGCCTGGGTCACCCCCCCACACACAAATACACCTTACCCCCACCCCTCCAGGTGACTTTGGAGATTAGCAGCGGAAAATGGAGGGGAGAAAACGGGGGACACACAGAAACTGGAGCTAAAGGTAAAGGGTTTCGAGATTTTTCGTAGGGGAGAGGAAAAGAGGTGGAAAGAGCAAAGGAGGGGGAAAGAGGGAAGGCGTGGGGGAGGGTGGAAAGAGGGCTGGGGGAAGAGAAAAGAAAGGAGGAGGCAGGGAAAGTAAGGGAGGGGGAAGGAGGGAAGGGGTGGGGGAGGGGCAGGAAGAGCAGAGGAGGGAGTTGGGAAAGCAGGGGAAGGGGAGAGGAAAGGAGGGGGTGGGGAAAGAGAAAGCGGAAAGAGGGGAGGGGTGTGGGGAGAACAGAGGAGGAGGTAAAGGGAGGGGGCGGGGCCAGTTTCCGAAAGGAGGGGGCGTGGCGAGCAGAGGGAGGGGAAAGGAGGGGAGGGCGTGGCGAGCAGGGGAGGGCGTGGCGAGCAGAGGAGGGAGAAGATGCGCGCGCCAGCGCGCGGCCCCGAGGCACGCGGACGCGCGGGCGGGGGCGCGCCCCGTCTCCGCCGGCCTCCGCAGTGGGGCGGGGGCGCGCGCGCGCGGGAAAAAACGGCGGCCTGGGGCTAGAGGAGGCAGGGGGCCGGAGGGCGGGGGCTGGCCGGACAGGGCGTCACTTACGCGGCCGTTTCTTCTTGAGGGTCTCCAGGCGCTGGCGGGTGCCGTGCGTGGCGCCGCTGTAGAAGCCCGGCCGCTCCCGGTTCATGCCGTCCGCCGCTCCCTGGCACTGGTTGTCAACCGCCGCGGCGGCGGGCGAGGGCAACGAAGAGGCGGCCAAGGTGCTGCTGGCCCGGCGGCGGGCGGGCTCCCGCTTCCGCGGCTCCAGCGCCGGCCCCCCGGGCCCCGGCTCTCCGGACGAGGACGACTCGGAGGCCGGCGGCCCCGGGGGGGCGCCGGCTGAGGCGGCGGCCCTACCTTGGTGCTCCATGGGCGCCCCGGGCCGGCCTGCTCCCATCAGTTGCAGCCTCCGCCTCTCCCGCCCGAGCCAGCCCCCCGTGCCCACCGCCTCCTCCTCCACGGTCGCCGCTACCTCAGCCGATGCCCCGCCCTCCGTGGGGCCTCCTCCCCGTGCGCCGGCGCAGAGCGAGCCAATCGCGGAGGCCCACCCAATGGACTCCCGCAATGGGGGATGAGTGATTCCATCTCTATCCAATGACAGAGGCGCAGAGTGGGAGGGGGGAAGGGAGGCAAACCAGCAGGAAGGGAAGGAGGGGGTGGGTTGGGGACCGAGAAAGGCACGCTCTTATCCAATCGGCTCCGGAGGATGGAGACCGACGGAGGGTGGACCCAATTGAAGCGTGTCCCCGCCTCCCATCGTCCCGTGGGCGGGAAGACGACTGTAAAGGGAGGAGGTGGAACTCGGCGCTCCCGCCTATTCCAGGCTCCCTCCCCTCGGCGGTACCTGCCCCGCCCCCTTCCCGCCAGGCGCCCCCTCCCCCAAACTCTTCCCCCCATAATGTCACCTGCCAAAAATAACTTCAACCGCCCCCTAAAATAACGTCACCCCCAAACTTTTAAAACCCCAGGACTCCCGCCTAAAATACCTTCCTAACTCCATCACCTCCACAGCCCCCACAATTATCCTCCAAAATCCAGCTCCTTTATGTTGTAAACTCACCCCCTCAAACGTGCCTCCTAAAACCCCCAATATTACCACCCCAAGAAACCCTTGTAAAACCCCAGGACTCACACCTGAATCTCTCCAGAAATGACCTCCCAAACCCCAAGCCTTTATAGGACCCCAAGATTAGCCACCAAAAGCGAACCCCTTTTGCAAAATAACCTCACCCCAAAAAAGTGTCTCCTAAAACTCCAGTTCCTATGTTACCAGCCCCCCAAAATTCTCAAATCCATCCCCCACAAAATAATCTTGACCTCAAAAGTTAACTTCCAAAAGCCTGCCCTTTTATGAAATAACCCAGCTCCCCATGACATAACTAGCCCCCAAAACTTAAAATACCAGCCTTCCATAACCTAATCCCAGCAAAAATGACCTCCCAAGCCCCAGCTCCCCATTACATTGCCCCCCAAAGTTAACTCCCAAAACCCAGCCTTTTATAAGCTCATCTATCCCCAAAAAGTACCTTCTAAAACCTCAGCTTCCCATAATAGAACCACTCCCAGAAAACATCTGAAACGCAGCCGGCCCCTCACAGAACCACGGCCCTTCTAGACCTAGCCTAACAAAATAAGCGCAAAAATGACCAGAGCCTCCCAGTAAGGCTTGCCCTAAAATCCCTCCATCTGCTCGGACATCTCAAAATTCATCACATCTCTCCATCCTCTGTCACTTCCACAGCTTATCGCCTTCCCTTCTGAAAGGAAAATGCATGCTCCTAGAGGGCAGGCCCTGTATGGAGCACAGAGCCTGGTACAGAATGTCCTAGTTTCAGAAATATTTGTCTAATTGGATTTACAGGCATTTTCTTCTTCTGCCCTCCTCCACACATCTCAGCCTAGCAGCTTCCTCCCTTGGAATCCTGTCCTGCCTTATCCGCCACAAGGAAGGAGCCCCACACCTTTCCTCAGTCCATTCATTCTCCAGAGAAGCAGCTAGGTTGCATGGTGGATAGAGCTCTAGAGCTGGAGGCAGGAAGACCTGAGTTCAAATCCAGCCTCAGACTCTTACTAGCTGTGTGATGCTGGGCAAGTCACTTCACCTCTGCCACAACTCTAAAATGGGGCTACTAATAGTACCCCTTAGGGTTGCTGAGAGGATTAAATGAGATTATATTTGTAAAGTGCTTAGCCCACTTACTGGTACACAGTAAGTGCTTAATAAATGCTTATTTCCTTCCTTCCAGAGGAAGGTGGGGGCTGTTAGACAAGGAGACGTCTGGGATGAAGCCCTTTTTCAAAGAACCTGACCAGTAGCCTCCCATCCCTTTAGGTCCCACTTTTATGTTATTCAGCTGTTTTCCTCCCTGACTCCCATTTCATCAGAAGATCCTCCTCCCAAGGGCTAATCCCAAGACCTAGCTAAACTGCCTTCAACCAGCTCAGTGGCAAACCTCCCAACAATGGGCAGTCATTTGTGACTTTGGGTCTTAAGGTGCTTTGAAACAGCTAGTGGCAGTCCAGACTTTTTCTGAGCTGGCCATTGTAAGGCCTGTTGACTGTAAATACACCTCTTCCTATACTTTGTTTGTTTGTTTTCTATCCTTTCTGCATTGGTGAGATGTGCCTGGCACTGGGAGAGAATAGAAGGACTTAACTTAGTCTCTATGGCAACCACCAGGAAAGAGGTGGGTTAGAACTCCTCCAGCCTCCCCAGGGTAGAAAAAGTGCCATCCTAGGTTTTTTGAGAGTTGGGTGGAAGGAGAAAGTAAAAGTTTCTTTGCCTAAAAAAAGCACGAGGATCCCCTTGACCAGCTTATTTGCTCCCTTCCCCAACAAATAGGCACCATCCCTCCATCCACAGGAAACATGAAGACAATTCATTGGGCAATATCTGAACAAATGGTGGTATGTCAATGGAATGGAATACTAAGTACTGGGCCACAACAAAAAATGTATGAAGAATTCAGAGAAAGTTTGGAAGACTTATATGAATTGAAGCAGAACCAAGAAAACAATACACAGAGACCACTATAATATAAAGGAAAATAACTTTGAACATCAGAAAGAAGATCAGTGCGAGGATCAATCTTAATTCTGTAGGACTGATGATGAAACACATTGAAAAGTAGAGTAGACACGCAGGAGGAGGAATGCACGTACTATCAGACATAGAACGATACCAGTTTGTGTTGCTAAGCTGATCTTGTTTGCTACAAGAGAGAGTTTGGTTGAGTGTGGTTGGACAAGTCATTTCACCTCACCAGGACTTGATTTCCCCATCCATAAAAGGAGATGTACTAAACAATCCTGACCAACCTTCAGCTTCAGGCCTCCCTGCACCTGTCCTTTGACAGTAGAGGAGTGGCGCCATCTACTCAATGATGAACATTATCACACCTGGTCATACTCTTCACGTCCCAGTAAGAGCTCTCACTGAAACCTGGCTTTCCCGATGGCTCACCTTCCCTGCCCATCCTTTACAATACTGGTTTCACCTTCACTCTGCGTTGCCACTTTCAGGTTCTCCCCTTTATCATTCAGTAAACTCTCTTCCTTCGAGGTTCATGTTATTCATATCTACCACACAATCAAAATCTTGGTAGCCATTGTCTACAGACTCTTCAAGTCACTTCTTCCTTCCTCAATGTGTTTGATATGTGGCTTACAATCTTTCTTCCCCAACTCCTGCTCTCACACTGGGGGACTTCAACATACACATTTATTCTCCTTCAAATACCCTAACCACTTAGTTACTCAACCAACTCACCGTCTATGAGCTACTCCTCCACCTCACCTTGGTCACACCTTTGATTTTGTCATCATCGTAAAGGTACCACCTCCGTGTTCAAGAATTCTGAAATCCCCTTATCCAACCGTAATCTATTGGCATTTCATCTCTCTCTCTGTCTCTGTCTCTCTCTCTGTCTCTGTCTCTGTCTGTCTGTCTCTCTCTCTCTGCCTTCCCCTTATATAACACATTTCATCCCTTGACTCCTCAATTCTCTCCCTGACCGTCTGTCTCTCCTGCACTAGCCACTCTCTCTTCTTCTCTTCATCTTGACTCCTCAGTGAGCCAATTCAACTCTACACTGTCTTCCTTTTTTGAATCCTTATCCCCATTATCATATCACTGATTACCCCAGTCAAGCTTAGCCTTGGATCACTCCCACCAGTCATTACCTTCACACCTACACATGTACTGCTGAATAAAGGTGGAGAAAATCATGCAAGGCTCTGGGACCACTAAAAATTTGTGTTAAATAACCTCAAATGGGCCCTCACTGCTGCTAGGCAATCCTACCATACTTTTATCAACTCACTCTCCCACTCTCCACGACAGCTTTTCCAAACCTTTTCATCCCTCCCATGGCTCCCCCTCCCCCGCTCTCAGCGGAGACCCTGTCTGGTGTTTTATAGGAAAAAATTGAGACCATTCACCATGAGCTCCTTCTCCTCCCCTCTTCCTCACCTCCAGTCACTCAGATGCCTTTAGCCACTCTCTCCTCATTCACTTCAGTCTCACATGAAGAGACGGCCTTGCTCCTGATCAAGGCTAATCCTCCTATTGTCCAGGCCTTCCCATTCCATCCTATCTCCTCCAGCAGATTTCCCCCTCTGTCATCCCCATTCACTTATTTACAATCTCTCCCTGTCTACTGCACTGTTTTCCACTGCCTACAAGCATGCCCAGGTCTCCCCCATCCTGAAAAACCCTTCACCTGATCCCTCCATCCCTGCTATCCTCCTATGTCTCTTCTGCCCATCATGCCTTGCTTTCCTCTTCCTGTCTTCTTAAGCCCTTACAATCTGGCTTCCAACCTTATCCTTCCACCAACACTGCTGTCTTCAAAATTACCAGTGATCTTTGAATTGCCACATTCAATGGCCTTTTCTCTATCCTCATTCTCCTTGACCTTTCTGCAGCTTTTGACCCAATTGATCACTCTTTTCTCTTTGACCCTCTTTTGTCTCTTGTTTTTTGGGACACTGCTCTCTCCTGATTCTCCTCCATCAGTTTGACCTCTCCTTCTGTCTCATTTGCTGTATACTCCTCCAGATCACACCCTCTACAACCTATATATAGGTGTCCCTCAAGGATCTGTCCTAGAGCCTCTTCTCTTCTCCCTATACTATCTCACTTGGTGATTTCATCAGCTCCCATGGATTTAATTACCATCTCTATACTGATGATTCTCAACTCTACCTTTTCTCCCCCAATTCTTACTTGTTTCTCTGTAGAATTTAATGTATTTCTATATTAAACTTATGTGATTAACCTTCCTTTGTCTTTTTTTAGAAAAGGCAAGGTTCATCTGATCCCTGTTCTCCCTACCCCTTCTTCCATGACTGAATACTCTTCTCACACAATTATGAAAAATAACAAGTTTCAGCCCC